ACACTTGTTATATTCTCTTTCTCTCTTTTTTTATAGTAGTCATCTCTTTTTTTAATAGTAGTACTTCTTATGAGTTTGAGGTGGTGAGAAGACTCTTTTTGTCCCATTGAATTGTCTTGGCAGCCTTGTCAAAAATCAGTTCACTATCATAAAATAAGTAAGTCACAGGGATGAAAAGTATAAAACAGGGAATATACTCAATAATGTTGTAGTACACTTATCATGGCGATATGTGTACAATAGTATATATAGTGATTGTTGAACCACTATGTTGTACACCTGAAACTAAATTAATATTATATATCAACAATACTTCAATTAAAATAAAAAAATTCAATTGACAATAAATGTAGAAGTATTTCCAGTCTCTGAATTTTATTCCTTTGTTCATATGTCAGTACCACACTCTCTTGATTACTGTGGCTCTGAAATAAGTTTTGAAATTGGAATATGTGTCTTCCAACTTGTTTTTTTTCCATGATTGCTTTTTGGTCATGCTCGAACCCTTGCATTTCTGTATGACTTTTAGGATTCGTTTGTCAATTTTTGCAAAAATGCCAGTAGGGATTTTGATAGGGATTACATGAAATCTGTGGATTAATTTAGGTAGTACTGCCATCTTAACAATATTAAGTCTTTTGATCCATGAACATGAGATATTTTTCCATTTATGTGGGCCTTCTTCCATGTCTTTCAACAATGTTTTATAGTTTTCAGTGTACAGATTTTACACACTTGCTTCACTAAATTTATTCCTAAGTATTTTATTCTTCTTGATGCTGTTGTAAATGGAATTTTTTAAAAAAATTCATTTCTGGATTGTTCATTGGTAATGAATAGAAATGCAGTTGATTTTATACATTTATCTTGTCTCTTGCAACCTTGCTGAACTTGTTTATTTTGATTTGTGTGTGTGCATATGTGTGTGGATTCCTTAGGATTTTCTATATGCAAGATCATGTCATCTGTGTACAGAGATAATTTTGCTTTTTCTTTCCAATCTGGATACCATTCATTTCTTTCTCTTGCCTAATTGCCCTGGCTGGACTGTCCAGTCCAATGTTGAACAGAATTGGCAAGAGTGGATTTCCTTGAATCATATTTTTAATGTTTATAGTGTTTTGGAAATATGTATTACTGACAACGATCCTTTGAGAACTTGAAAATCCAGCTTTATGTCCTCCTTAGTAACAAAAGTAACAAAACTATTGGAATTTATGCATGCTGTTTATTTTTTGAACATTAATATGCACAATAGATTCTAGCTTGGCTTTTTCCAAAACTTTGATGCCTTTCCTCTGTTAGCTTTATGAGTTTGTTTTTTAAACGTCATGAAAGTAAGCCAACTGTGGGACTTCTAAAAACATGTCTCTAATGTAAATGTCCTCTTAAGGAATTGTGTGTACTGAGTATAGTTGAGTAAGAATAAATAATCAGGATGTTCATATTGTCTCAGCTAGTGCTTCCTAGTCTTAGTTTGGGCTAATGCTTTGTAGTTAGCACATTTGAAGTAAGTTTATAATTTGTAGTAGATAAAGTGGAAAACCAGAGATAATGCTAGTGGGTAAGTGAGGGAGAAGCAGTGATTATACTCCTTTTGATAATTTATTTATTTATTTTTCTTTTAA